TCTTTTCCAACCTAGATGATTCTATGATTCTATGATTTTTTGTGTAGTTCTATGATTGCCTTATGCATTGCATTTCTCAACATCAGTCTACTTTAGTGGTTTTACACTTGAACAGTAAGTAGTTGACTGTGTTTTAACAAAACAGAATGCATTCAGGCCTTGTCTTAACATTTCTCAGCCATCTGTTGCATAAGATTCAATGAGACGTGCGGCCTTCATGCAAAGCTTCAAGTAATGAAAGAATTCATTGTATACAAAAGCCAAACAGCACATGTAAAATGAAGACTATCCACAGATATTTGGTTACTGAGACTTTCCATCCCCAAGACTGAAAATTCTAGTCTTCAGCACAAAACAGAAACCGTGGGGAAACATGTTTTCAGAGTAGCTTCTGATATAAATTAATAATTTATGTACATTTTAATTATACTAGCAAATTATTTTACCACAAAAAAAAAAAATCCCCCAGAAGCAGCCTTTTGATAGACTGTATTTAGTTCTGATAGATATCATTTTATGCATTAAATATTGAGGTTTCTATGACTAGTAATTAATAAATTTGTCTTCTATCTAGCCCGTGGATAGACTACATTTTATTAATTAAGTTTTGCAAACGATAACTGAGCAGTTTATCAAGTCTTTTCCCATGTTCTGTATTTATTTCCCTTTTGCAGAGTATATTGCTATGTATACTTATGAGAGTTCTGAACAAGGAGACCTAACTTTTCAACAAGGTGATATGATTCTTGTGACGAAGAAAGATGGCGACTGGTGGACAGGAACACTGGGTGATAAATCAGGAGTTTTCCCATCTAATTACGTGAGACTCAAAGATTCTGAGGTAGAGACATATTGAAATGTTACAAAATTGAGCTGGGGGAGGTATGCTTTATTTGGTGTTGTAGTGATAGTTGCAAGTCAGTGGATCATAAAGGAAGAACAAATATTTTGCAGTTTTACTGAATGCGAGATTGGAAAGGGAGAACAATAGTAGCTGCATTTTACAACATAATGTCGTAAATAACTTTGTGGATCTCATACTAAAATTAATCTTGCATACATTAATAGCTAACTTGGCTGTTTTGTAGAGACAAATCAGAATAGCTATGAATGCTTTGTTCCCCAGGTAAGTTTTTAATGACTGAGTTGTATCTTACTGCCATTATTTTTAAAAAAAGATAGAGTCATATTTCAGTCTTATTATCTTTCTTTTTTCCTCTACTGTCTTTTTTTTGCAATCGAGAACAAATTTGACAACAAAACTTAGCCAACTACTATATTTATTTGAAAGTTCTTGACTGAATAATAGAGGTTCTGTTTCATCTGATTTTTATTCTGGAATAATCTGATAGAACATGCTTGTATTAGATTTTCTTTCTTTTTAGGCATTCTAAAGAAAGGTGTTTTCTCATTTATATTCCTCATCTGTTTGAGAGGATAGTAGGAATTAGCTTAGAGCCATAGTTGAATACAATACTAATATCTTGATGAGGAGTTCTTGTTTATGTCTCTAAGAATAATAGGGGGCTTAAAAGTAAATAAGTAAGTAAAAATTACTGGATTTTTGGAAATCTAGGTGGTAAGGCTTTTTCCAGGAGTCTTGAATTCTGTGTGTATGTGATGCAACTCAATGAAAGACTGTGTCTGCAATACAGAGCTTGAGCAAAGTCACTCCTTAAAATTGTTTCTGTTGGTGGAAAAGCTGAAAAATAAAACCTGCAGTGAAATATGTAGCTGTAGAAAGCCTTTATATAATAAATTTCTAGACAGTAGAGAAATTTCAGGAACATCCTCTGAGACAGGATTAAAAAAAAATTGTAGTTAATGATATTTAGTATTGCAGTCCTTGGGAGAAATAGTATTGTGATATTGCTTTCAGGAACATTTTAGAAACTTTTCTCATCTATATTTTGCATCATGTAACAATTTTCTTCAATCCCTAGCACTACTAGTTTGAGAACTAACCAGTCTCACACTGGAGAAGTCCTGTCCCAGTTTTGATTAGTTGTTCCCTTGCATTGTGAGGTACAGTCTTCTGTGCACATTAAGACTCTAGTTACATAGCATAGAATCATTTAGGTTGGAAAAGACCTTTAAGATCATCGAGTTCAACCATAAATGTAGCACTGCCAAGTCCACCACTAAACCATGTCCCTAAGCACTGCATCTACATGTCTTTTAAATACCTCCAGGGATGGTGACTCAACCACTTCCCTGTGCAGCCTGTTCCAATGCTTGACAACCCTTTCAGTGAAGAAATATTTCCTAATATCCATTCTAAACCTCCCCTGGTGCAACTTGAGGCCATTTCCTCTCATCCTATTGTTACTTTGCAGAAGACACCAACACCCGCCTCTCTACAGCCTCCTTTCAGGTAGCTGTAGAAAGTGATAAGGTCTCCCCTGAGGTTCCTTTTCTCCAGGCTAAACAACCCCAGTTTCCTCAGCTGCTCCTCATAAGACCTGCGCTCTAGACCCTTCACCAGCTTTGTTGCCCTTCTTTGGACATGCTCCAGCACCTCAATGTCTGTCTTGTAGTGAGGGGCCCAAAACTGAACACATTATTCGAGGTGTGGCCTCACCAGAGCCAAGCACAGGAGACGATTGCTTCCCTAGTCCTGCTGACTGCACTGTTTCTGGTACAGAATGATCATATGTAACCCATTTTAAGTGAGCACAGGTATGGTCCTACTTGCTGCACTTTTGCTGCCACTGTCTTTCATCTGACCTGTTGCTAATAAGCCAGTTCAGGACACTAAGCAGAACAGAAAATTAGTCTAGCAGAAGTAATACGTACTTCTAAGATGGTACTCTGAATCAGCTCAGCAAAGGTTAGAAAAATGTCAGTACCAGAATTAGTATGGGAGGAGAGTAGTGAAGGAGGCAGGATTGCCTCAGCATCAGCTTAGATTAGCTTGAGCTCATTCTGAACTGCATTCTTAGCTGGCTTTTGTGTTAAATACTTCACTTTAAAAGCGAAACATCATACCTTACATTTAGTATATGGTTTTGGATATGCCTGTGCTCATTCCTACCTTTCAGTTCCGTCAAATCTAGTGACTATGGAGCAGCAGATAAAGTTAGATTAGGTCCCAGACTAGAAGAGGAGTACTTAATGGTTCAGTTAGTGGAAGCATTGTAGCTGTAGCACTATGGAGCCTGTCACAGCAGGCTAGCTTGTCTTTTTGACAATTAGAGTAAATTTTGTACAGTAGTAAGTTGTGGTGTTAGGCATGGTATAGATTTACCCTGACAACAGAGCTCAGTGAGTCCGGACAAGAAATTCTAAACTCTCTGTCCCCAAGTCTAGCAGCTTGATTCTCCTCTGAGCAGTGCAACTTCCCTTCAGTTGTGGCAGCGGAGGTGTTTGTGGGTCTGTATCAAGGAATTTACCTGGTTAAGAAAAGCACTCCTTTTTGCAGTCCAGGATGTGGGTTATAGTTCAGCCCTGCCCATAATCCTTCATATACATCAAAAAGATGGTGGTTTGCTCCACGGAGGTATAGGAACAAGTGTACAGATAATTGCCTAACCTGTGGAATATCTTGTGATGAAACTGTGCCCTAAGTTGCTTTATATTACCTGTAAGTTTGTATTGTAGTTGATGAGTGGGAACTTGCACTGTCAGCCTCCTAAAACCCTGTGAGGCCCGTTTCATAGGTAGATAGTAATAGTTGCTAATTAGTTATTTAACCTCAGTTACATTCTTGTTAGTTAATGTTAAGTTTCCTTTGAACTTTTGTGAAGGAACTGTTTTTGTTTTCCCTTAAGATACTCTCAACAGAGTTTAGTCTGAAAACCTGGGAATTTATATTCAGATGTGCAGAGCTGCCTTTTGTGTGCCTTTAAGGACTGGATGCTTGTCCTGTCTGGTGAGAGGCAGGCACACGTATTGCCAAATCTGCTTTGTAGAGAACTCAGAAATAGACATTTAATACTGAAAACTATTTTTATTAGAGAGGTCAATTCGATGTTTTTCTGGTCTCAACTTGTCTGGGGCTGAAACAGCTAAGTGCAGTTCATCCAGAAGTGCTCCAACTGCCCTTTTTGCTGGTGAAAATCACATCTTCAGATAAAATCTTGATGAGAGAGGAAGGAGAAAGCACAGGGCTCATGGAGATACTGATATCCGGGATGCTTATTTTCATAAAGTGATTCATATGCCCCGCAGGACATATTTCTTGTTCCAAGTGGATAATTGCCATTACATGTACAGTGCTTTGCTATCCAGCTTGTTCACAGAGCCAGTTTTTACAAAGGATTTCTCAATAGCGGCTGGCTGTTAACTTTCAGATGTACCGCTGTGCTTGGACAGCTGGCTGATTGTGGAAAATGTTACTAAAAGAGTAAATTAATTTAATGTGTTCTGCACTATTGACTTAGGCCTGAAGAAAAAGTAAGGCAGTGCTGATCTTTCAACAGCAAGTGTAGAGTTTGTAGAAACAGTTGTAAGCCTCAAAATATCAACGGTTTATACATCAGAAGAAATTTTTTTGAATCTGTTCTTCTGTACCTAGTCCCAGGCTATCCATTCACCTCCAGTTGCTAAATTAAACTATTTCCTGTTCCTTAAAGTTTCAACTTGTTAACAGAGTGAAAAACTTTGTTCTTCAAGTAAACAACAACACTGGTTCATGGTCCATTCTCAGAGTTTTCATTAGGTTGAGGTAGATGGATACAGATCTGTAATGGGTTTTTATTGTACCCTGACTTTCTCTGAGACTGGCGATAATTACTTCTGCGTAAGGTATGGAGCTCATACAGTGGACACGAAAACACAAGAATTTAGATGCCTCTACTTACAGAAGTTTGCATAAATGTTCTGAAAATAATAACAGTCTGAATTTATTTAATCTGGATTCTGAGGGTCTTACTGTACAACACAATTGGCAAGTCTACTGCTGTGTCTTATTAAATTAGCAAAACAAGTTCTACTCTACTGTTTCAAAAGGCTTTATCACTTGTCACAAAATATCCTCAAAGGCAGTTAGTGTCCCAGGTGTACAAAAGGGAAATAGAATGGGATATGTCCTCTCCACTATGTTTCTCTCAGCAGTTCTTCTCCATCTACTGAGTGGGCCAGAAGTTGGGTCCATCTTAACCTTGTTATTTATTGAAGTACTGCAGGACTTCTCTATGTATTTCTTCTGCTTTTTTACCAAGGATTCAGAGAATCCTCAAACAGAATTCAGACTTAGCCTGGTCAAGGTGATTTTCAAGCTTCTCTTTTAAAATAATCTCTATATGTTTACCAATTAATTGGAAAGATACAGTGTCACAGCCTGTTTTATCTGTCCATATGCTCCTAATCTGGCAACATTGATGTTGACTAAGTGATATTTTGAAGGAGTATTTTCTCTGAAGGTCCAAACACTTGTTCTTCATTGAGGAGGGGGGAGGGTGTTTCTCTGCTGGAAACACTTTCCAAAGTAGAATTAATTCCTAATACTACCATATCCGTGCCTGTTGTCACCTTTGGTTTCACACCTTTTAGTCTTCCCTAGTTGGGACTGTTGATGGACTTGCAGTCACTTTGTCTGGACCATCTTCTCCTTGTTCCCAGACCTAAACTTAGTCTTTTTATCGGATCTCTGCTTGATGCTTTCCTATTTCACTTTTTTTGTTAATATAGGTCACAGTGGTTGTAGAGAAAGGTGGAGAACTGAAGAGACAGAAAGGAACATAGGGAAGAAAGGAAGATTTGCTGGCCTTGTAGAAAGTAACTATAATCAGTCTTCTACAATGACAAGAAAGTAGCACTGAGACAGCAGTATCCAAGTATTGTTTAACTTAAAGCATCCACTTTCCACCATCCTTCCCAAAATTTAAGTTGCAAAATGTCAAGGAGAAGCGTGGTATACTAGATGTATGCAAGGTGCTTTGTGCCAAATTAAAAAAAAAAAAAAATAAATTCTTCCCATTCCAACTCTTACTTTCCAGTACTAGTTACAGCTTGTGAGGTAGGTAATGCCAATTCTGCTGGGTTTTCTGCTGCTGTTAGATGGTGTTGGCTTGACTAGCATTGTGAGGTGCTATAGTTCAGTCTGAAAGATCAGGCTTCTTTAGTAGCTTTTCTGAAAGATGTTCAAAACACAGATGTCTTAGAGCAGCTATGTAATTGTCAAGACAGATTGAAGATCTATCTAATAATCTATTTTATAGAGGCATTCAAAACCAATACACATTTTTTAAACGGCGCTGTTCTCTCAGTCATTTAACTAGTTTTTTAGTTACTCTTTATATTAGTTTCTGCCAGAATCCCCAAGTTTTCAAAGCATCAATTTCATATGGAGAATACTGAGGATGAAACTGTTCTCTTCCATAGAGAAATTAGGATTTCTGTGAAAACCTTCAGGTCGTTTGATGTAGACCCCCAAGTTTGTAAGGAGGATCCTAAAGGAGAAGTTGAGGGGAGGCAGAAGTGTTGTGAGCCTTGCTTGAAGGCAAGAGAATGTTTATGGATATTCAACATTTCTGACCAAAGTACCGTTCAGATATGTTATATTGCTGTTATCCATATCAAGCCTTTTTATTGTAGAAGGTAAGATGGGCAATGTACTGGGAAGAAACTGAAGTAATTATTTAGGGGGCAAGGGGAAGCTGTTCTAGACAGGGTGGTGACTAAAAGGGTTGGAAGATGACTGAGGAAGGGAGCATTCAAGGGGCAGCGTTGAGACCACACACTGTTTTGAATACTCTAATTGCCTGTATATCAGTAGACCTGTGAGTGAATTAAAATAAATAAATAAAGATAACTCTTCCCAAGTAACCACTGGCCTCAAGAAAAAAGATTATACCCGCCCCCCCGGAAGAGAACTTTGAGTTTGTAAAATAATGAAAACTTTTCATGTTAATTTTCATCTTTCAGTATCACTGTTTTCCTATACATAACTGAACTGAACTAATTTCACTGCTTGCTGGATTTCTTGTGGCTGTTCAAAGGCTTTTCTTGCAAATTTCTTGGCCTGGATGATGATGATGATATTCATCCCGCATCTCACCCCATCCAGGTTCAGAGGAAATAGCTGCAGATAGATAGCATCTTGCTGATCAGTGTCATGTGCTCTCAGTTGGGCACAAAAATGGTGGTGGGGCTTTTACTACTGCAAGACACACCACTTACAAAGTTCAGATGACTTGTCTTAAAGATGCAGTAACTACACTCACTACGCTAATGTCCCATTTGTGAAATTTTAGAACCATAATGTGGACAGTATTGAAATAATTATGTCATTAGCTTTTTAGGCATATTTGCAATCCAACTATTTGTAGAGTTGAAAACTGTGATTGTTTTAACTCAACAGAATTCACGTTCTGTAGATACGCAGATTTACACTTCATATGCTATGTAGTTTGGAATTACATTGGTATTTGCAGTCCATGAAAAGAAGAAAAGTTCAGGAAAGAAGTCTACACATTTATATAGTTAGTCATCCACTTCCATGCACTGTTTGTTATTTATTCCTATGTATTAATTGCCATCTAAAATATTAAGGGTTTCTGTAAAAATAGAATCTTCCTGTGAAAGTTTTTTACTTACATCCTTGTTTAGTGTGTTAAAGTGAAGCATAGTAAATAATTTTCATATACTGGAGAAATAAAAATGAATTCTAAACTTACATCTTACTTTTTGTTTCAAGGCTCCTGGAGCAGCTGGAAAAACGGGAAGCTTAGGGAAGAAACCTGGTGAGTCATATATTGTGACAGCACCTTATATCTGTTCTTAAGTACTTAAGTTCAATGGCCACAAAATCTTTTCCATGAAAATAAATTATGTTTGCTCTTGGTCGTTTTATAGTAGTTTGCATTGATGAAAACTGTTGTCTATAATAAAATAATGCATAGTCTGTCAATCATTCTATCTAGCATGTATCATATCAATCACTAAATAGCACGTAGCTAGAGAATAAAAATCCACTTGCTCAAAAATGAATGTAAACTTCATAATAGATTGCTGAACAGAACAGTGGAAACCTACTAAAAGCCCAAGTTTGCCAGTGCCTCTGAAAATGGAAGTATAAATTCTTACCCTGTGGTTTTACAGCATTTTGCCTAGAATGCTACACAATATGGTATACATGGACTTTGTGAGCTCTTGTGCCTGCTTCTTATTTTCAAGAGCATATACCTTGTATCCATGCTATGTAGCTTATTGCCTGTCAAGCCTGGCCATGTTGCAGGTTCCTTTTTGGCTAGAAAGAGGTCCCCTGGCTCTTGGGGTGGGGGGGGCTGTCCTTCCAAACAGCCATCGCATTTCCAAAGATCATTAGAAAAGTGTGCTCTCTGCCACTGCCAGGCATTTGTAAACTTTCCAGAAGGCATCTCCCTCAGTGTATTTATTTGCTTTTGTACCAGAGATGACTTTGCATTGAGCTGAACCAAACTAATCGGGGTGCTCCACGCTTCTGTTCTGTCCCTTTCTCTGAGGCTTGTTCAGTTGCACAGTGAGGTGGTTCAAGGATGTGATCTACCAAATCTTGCCTTGTTTCCGTACACACACATATGCATATCTATATTTTGTTTTGTGGGAAGGAGGTTTTGCTTTGTCTTCCTGAACTGGTTCACAGTATCAGTGTGTAAGAGGAGACAGGGAGAGTAGATTGCAGCAGCCCCAGTTTCATTTGGTTAATTTTACCTTGACATATGAGCAATGGGCTGTGGTTAATTTTACCTTGACGTATGAGCAATGGGCTGCCCTTGTCAAACCTTACTGATCCCTCTGTGGAAAGAGGGGCTTGGAAGTAAACTACTCCTGCCTTTTCTAACATTCATTTGCATGATTAAAAAAAGTTGTATTAATAGATACTAAGCTCAAGAGAGGCAGACAAGAACAGAGATCTGGAAAACCTCTAGAAGTGATATCTGGTAGGAATAGTGAGAAGATGCTGATAGGTCTGGCTGCTTTTTTCCATGCATGAGAGAATAGTCAATGGCAAGACTTCCGCCTAGAGTACCAGCCTTATAATCACTGGTCTCCTGGATTCGAACTTTCAGTGAAGTAGAGACTGGAGGGATGTTGACAAAAGGCGTGTTCAGAATCTTTTGGAGTTTAAGAACAGTTTGGGAACAATCCTGCTTATTTTTCAACAGGGAGATTCATGGATGTTTTTGCTATAAATGAGCTACAAGTGCTCAGCCAAGATAAGTGAAATGCTAATGAATGAGGTGAAATATTCCTGTTTATTCTAGAAGCAGCGGGACTAGTGGGTGGGAGTTGGTAACTGTGTGTTGAAGGGCAAGGGAAGAGAAACCGCTCTCTCTGTGAATTTAAGCAGCAATATGAGGACAATTAGATCTGTGAGAAGGCATTTATTTCTTTTTCTAAATGTACCTGTTTTAGTAGAGGCCACATTTTTTGGCCTGGATTATAATTGAATTGGATCTTGTCTCAGTAATTCAATACTTAAATCAAAATTTAAAAGTCCTTCCTGGAAGGAAAGCTATTTCATTTTTTTTTTTTAACTTTTTTGCTGAGCTGTTTTCTCTAACTTTCTGCTTCTCAGTGACATGCAAGAGCTGAATGTTAAACTTGTAATTCATATCGTAACTTATTTAACACACAGTCTGTGGTAAAAATTCTTTATGCTGCTCGTTGGTGAAAGAGGATATCTGATATCTGGAGCCTTGTAAATCACCTTTTTCTACATAAAAATGAGAAATTTCTTGCTCTGAGAGAGATGTCAAGTATAAGATTTTTGCTCTTTTGGTATGATATACTGAATATTATAATTACCATGGTAGTGAGAGAGGTTTTTGCCTGAATTAAAAAAAAAGTAGTTTATTTTGACAAACTCCCACAGTTAATTTGTTTGCTTGTGTTCATTTTGCCTCCTGAATGGCTCTAGGGTGGAGGAATTAATGGATACTGTGGAAAAACCTGCAAATGGCAGGGAGCTTGCAGACTTTCTAGCAGTATAGCCATGTTTCCTGCCAAACAGCTTGCTTGCTTTGCCTTCGTACAGGACAGACTGTGCTGCTGCTGGCTTTTCTCTATGTAAACCTTTCTGCTCTCCTATCGTCACCTGTATTTTGCTTAGAAATTCTTTGTTCTGTCTTCTGCTTTCACACTTCGTGTGATGTCTAAGTTCCAGATCCAGGTTTAAAGCATCTTTCTAACTCTCAGCTACTGGCTTTTTCATCACCTGTTTGGTTCCACCCTTTCCTGACCATGCACCTCTTTGTGCCTGCCTCTCCCTTCTTTGGGTTATCTTGATGGAGGTTCTGCCATTTGTCATCTCTCTGCTTCTTCATCCTCCTTATGTTGTCCATTTACATCTTGAATGCTTCTCTGACCATTTTTAATTTTCCTAATCATCCTTTTCTTCTATATTTTAAGGAAACCATCCGATCATTTTCCTGGCAATCTTCAAATCACTTTCTTGTTTCTTCCCTGCAACAAAACCTCCCTCTGTTTCAAGGGAGTTGGCTTTGTGGTTTCCTCTGCCTACAACTGCCTTTTCAATGATTGCTCCCTTTCTCTGCCTTACCAGCAGACTCCCCCCTCCTTTCCCAGCCTGTGGGTGATGTGTTGTTACTGAGTGCCTCTGCTGTTTCTCTTGGCCGCAGGAAGTTTGGCACTTGTTGACAGAGAGGGCCAAGTAGGATGGTGCCCAGCACTGTGTTACTTTCTTAGTACGGCTGCCCATGAGAAAGCTGGAGACCACTTCTCTGTACTCGCTCCCTTCACCTCAGTCCCTTTTGCTGCTGCTGTCTTGACCACAAATCTACCTCACACTCACCGCATTGCTTTCTGCTGCTTTATAAAGGGACAAACTTATGGCAGGTGTGACCTTTTTCTGCTTAGTCTTCCAGTGCCAGTTTTTTAGGATAGACTAGATTGAAAATATGTACAAATAGTAATCATAAATGAAAATAACTGGTACAGATGTTTTTTATCAAGATTTTTCAAATAAAAGGTAAAATCTCAAGCAGTGTATTGATCTGTGATCAGATCAGATAATTGCTGAGGTTTTAAATTAAGCTGACTGTCTTTGCACTGAAGCAGTTGAGGCACGTTTTTGTGATCTTGTACTACTGGCTCTGCTGTGGGCTTGTTCTAGGATAGTCTCAGACCAAAACCATAACCAGTCAAACTCAGTGCCCACATCGACTGTTTGATGGTCCCCAATTTTATCTGATGCATTGCCAAATAAAAACCTCCTTTGTCTTAAACACAGTGTCAGAATTTACTGTTCCAGGAAAGGTCTTTCATGAAAACAAAAAGCCGAATTCCACGTGCCCCCAAAAAAACCCCAACCCCTAGATCATTCTGTTAAGAAGAACACTTAAGTGATGAGTGACTGTGTACTGGGATCCTAAAGTGGAGTTTGTAGCAGTAACAACAGTACTTTTGTGCTGTTTTGGATGTCTGAGACCCTTTACAACTAAAGGAAGGCTAAAAAAATGTTTCCCACCGATTCCCCTTAACTCATGACTAAAAAGGGACTACGTAAATGTAGCAGCCTAAAAGGTTTGGCTTACCAAAAGCTAAAAAGTTCCCAAATCTATCATCTTTTGCTTATGAAAGGTTTCCAATTATCATAGTATTAAACATGTTCTCCATCACCCTAAACATGGTTTGATAACATGCTAAACCAGACTTAAAAGCTGTCAGTAGGATGTCAAAATACTTAAAGCTGCTTGTAAGCTCCTGTCAGTTCAGATTGGTTCAAAAAATGGGTTAACCTTGCCAGACTTTGTGGTGACTAAGTTATCATCTATCTTTCCACAACCACTGTAAAATGGAGTAAACTGTGTTGTCTACTTCGGCTAATTTAACAGAGATATAATTGTGAGCTCATGGTTACTCTGCGTCAGATTCATGCTGGTAGGTGATCAAGTAAGGCACCAGTTTTGTATCGACGTTCATAGAATAAAGATTTCAAAACAAATCCTGTTTGTTACATTTTGAAAACACTCATTGTTTTGCCTAGTCTGGTGGTGAAAAATTTTCTGCAGGCCTTCATTAGTTTGCACCTCTGTTACTGCAACTTCTTCATTATATTGTCATCAACATGTATCTCCTCTTTTTAGGGAGCTTCGTCCAAACTGATGCTACAAAAATTTATTTATTGGAAAACAGTATTATGAGACTTGATTTTAAGAGCCATATAGCTCTAATGATGGTCATTATTCTTCTTCTCTATTTCAAACATTTTTTATGTCCTACCCATAGAGCTGCTGCACCTCTGTTTTATTCCTGTAGTGCTATGAATTTCCAATCTGTTTTATAATTACCATATGTTTTCATGGGACTACATAAATACATAACAATTTTATGGAAAGAAAGACAAAATGGATATACTGTGCCAGTGATAATAGCAGAGTTAATGTTGTATAGAATGTATTCAGGTTTTTCCAAATTAACTTCTTTTTTCCCCCTGCTTCAACAGAAATTGCCCAAGTTATTGCCTCTTACACTGCAACGGGTCCAGAACAGCTTACTCTTGCTCCTGGTCAGTTGATTCTTATCAGAAAGAAGAATCCAGGTGGCTGGTGGGAAGGAGAGCTCCAAGTTAGTTATTGTTTTTTTGAAATAAAATTCCATGTAAAAAAAAATCTGTAATTTTTTAATAGTTCAAAATGGTGAATGCATCAGTGATAAATAATTTTGAAAATGTTCTGCAATTAAGCATTTACAAATAAAATGCCTATACAAAAACACACATACAATTCCAATTCCTTGAACTTGAAATAACTTTGGAGGACAGCAGGAGGAAGCCATTATGCCTCATTGTAAGTCAAGGATACCCATCTCAGGAATCAGAGCCAGCCTGCAGTTCTCTCCCTTGTACATTTTCTCGGAGGGCCTTCAGATATAAGAAAGGAGTGGGTGTTAGGGTGTATTGTCTTGGCTGCTTTTGAATCCTCCCAGTCTTGTGTCCAAGAGTCGTCTTCATGTAAGCAAAAAAGCAGTTGTCATGGCAGGTGGCAGGGAAGCCCAGCCGTGCAACAGGAGTGCATGGGACTGTTGGGTTAAGTGACAGGCTCTGCTCGCGTGTCCTGTTTCAATAGTGGCCATGCATATCAGTTTGGATCAGGTGATACCTGTGTCCTCTGTGAAAGTGGAAGAAATACTGGGGTGCGCAGTCCTGAATGTCCTCCTAAGAAGCTTTCTAAATTGCTTCAGCCAAAAGTTTGGCTATCCCTTTTGTTGAAAGATTGAGAAGTATTTTACAGCAGTGGTTTTTGTGAGGTGGCCACAACTTTTTCAGGTTGCTTAATGAATGTGACAGTGTAGAATACCCATCTAATGGCCCCATCTCAGCAATGGCTCAGTTTAATGTAGAAGAGTGAAAACAATGGTGTCTGCAAGCATCGGATAGGAGAGAGCTTTAGTGCTGTATTAAAAGATAATAGATAATAAAATATTTTAACCAGCTTTTTTTTGAGAGTAGAACTTCACAATTTGGAAACTGTGATTCTCAATGACTTTCAGTGGCAAAGCTTCAAAGCTTCCCCCCTGGCCCTGCCTCCAGTACCACTGAATGAGGTTTTGTTTGGTTTTGTTTCTTTAATGGGGAATATTACATGAAAGAATGTAGTTAATTTATTTTTGCAATGCAGATGCTCAAACTAACTCAAATATTTTTTTCCACGTTGCTACCTGCCCTTTTTGCCTTTCCTGGTGATACTTTTTCATCTTTTGTGGAGAGATCATCTTCCAGGATTGCTTTGGTTTTCATTCTCACTAACCTTTATGTTGTTGTTAACTTGTAGCTTTAAAGAGTCTCACATTAAATGTATTTTAAGATAGCAAATAAGCTTCACTGGGCAAGAGCTGTCACAATTACCACTTAGAAGCTAATGTGAGGTCTTTTTAAAAATTAATTTTTGACTGTGTAAATACTCATATGTAGCTTTGGATACCTTACTATCTGACATGATTTTACAAGTTTGTTTTTTTCTTAATTAGCAGTCCCCTACCTGTTCTTTTCATTCTCCTGTTCCAACACTGTAATACTAGTTCTTGCTCCTTTGTTATGCGAGCACAAAGGGTAATGCAGCAGTATGGTGAAATGGATTGAGGAATTGATTAAAAGTAAAAGCAGCAACTGCCCCCCCCAAGTGATGACAAGATTTGGAGAAGGGCACTAATATTAACTTTTCTTTAGGCATTTAATTTCAAAGTGGCAGATTTTTCAGAAGTATATGTACAGTTCTGTTTCAGCCTCAAGTAAATTTTGATGATGCTTGTCTAGGGGTCAGAGTGAAGGTAAAATAAGGCAAATGTGTTCAGCATTACATTGCTGGGTTTAATGCAGTCTTCCATAATATCTTAAAATTAATGATCTAGATACACTTTAGATCAAGTACTTTCTTTTTCAGTAAAGAAAAAGAGATGAAAGGAAGTAGTTAAAGAATAGTATATGTGTCAGATGACTTTTTTCCACTGAAATTAACATCTGTTTTGTTTTTCAAGGCAAAATGCCCAAAATTCCAACCTTATTCTAACCACACAAGAAGAGAATAAATAGTTAAAGTAATTCTTAACATAGATTTAATAGGTTTAGAAGCTGAGATTTGATTCAAAGTTTTAGAGTAACCTTTCTTACAGTAAGGATTTTTCTTCTGATTTTATTTGCAATGAACAAGGCAGTTGGTGAGATAACAGGATGCAGTTTCTGTCAAATTCCTACCCTGCTTTGGTGACATAAGCTTTGTCACACTGGATCGGACCTGCAGTTCGTGTGTCCCAATATCCCGTCTCTGACAGTGACTCATTGCAGCTGCATTACAAACTGTAGAGCACTGCAGTAGGCCAGGTGTATGGTAACCTGCTGCTTTCTCAGCACACACACACGGACCACACGCACACTAATACATGTGTGCACCACATTTTCATACGGATGGTCTCTGATTAGATAGACATGAGAGCATCTCGTGTACTTTCCAAAACCTTAATATCTGTTAATTAGGATCATCTGGACAGTCTCTATCCGTATGTATTTGTAGCTGCCAAAACTTAATTTTTGTTTGACTGGAATCTGGCTTTGGGATTTTGTATTTGAATCCAAACTTTACCCGTTTTTTTCTTGCCATAATGTTTTGCTGTTCTTCTAGCACTTGATTAACGTGACATATGTTTATACTTTGTCTGTTGTTTGGGCAGGAGAGACTATTAAAAAGTTTAGATACTTTAAAAGAAAAGAGGTAATTGGGATCCTAAATCTCTACTTAAACTATCACAATTTAGGTATGTATATAAATGCAGTTCTTTGCATAATGAAAAAGCATTTAAATGCTGCCACTCATTAATGCACTAGCTAGCCTAGTATTCTAGAGTTATGGTTTAAACAGAATCAGGAGAAATCTTTCAGAAGAATCAGGGTTGTACTATTAATTATAAAGCACACAAAGTAGGAACACTGTTAAGTGAAAGATCACTCATTAGATATGATAAACTACTGTTTATGTGTTATGAAAGCTTACTTCACGTAATAGAAGTATCATAATATTAAACTATTGCCACAAAAATAGCTCATTTTTTCATTATAAAATGCATTTTTCTTATTCTAAAATAGTGTGATTGCAAGTAGTTAAAATATTGGCTGAATTACCTTGTCTAAGGATCTATTGATGTGCTTAATCCTCTTAAAAGAATTGGTTTTTTACTAGGCACGAGGGAAAAAACGGCAGATAGGATGGTTCCCTGCTAATTACGTAAAACTTCTGAGCCCTGGTACCAGTAAAACTACACCAACCGAGCTACCTAAATCAACAGCATTACCTTCAGGTAAGCAGTGTGGTTGCAGTGTTAACTTTGTTAACAAAGTTGCTTTTGTAATGTGTATCATTTACAATAGGACTTCTAAAAAGCATTATGGACATTCAGTAGGATATTTAGTATCTGTTATACTAGTCACTTTGGTTAAACTCTTCTTTTTTTTTTTTTTCTTTTAAATGAAAAAAAAACATACAATTGGTCTGTATGTTTATGGTGGTGGTCCCCCAGGTATGAACTGTTGAGTGCTAAAAAGCCATCTGTGACATTACATCTTAAAGAGTAAAACATTCAAATTATCAGTCCTGTTGTTTGCACTAATTGTAGTAAAAGAGTTTGTAAAGGTTCAGGATGGTCCCATGAGCTTAGCAGTTGAGGCACCTCTCATTCAGAACCTTTTATTTTTCCCAAGGTGAAGTGTGAGAAAACCACTCAAATGAAGATGTAGCTTTTTGTCCTGTATAGCTACTTATTTTAAGGTTTATGAAAGGATACAATAGTGATAGACCATTATATTTTTAAAGCTATTTGTCACACCTTCACCCCAGGGAATAACAAACAGTCCTGTCAGTCTACTGCAGGGTATAAAGCCAGGCAGTAGACTGAGAACAAAAAGTTCATTCCTTGTGACTGTTTCAGTCTTGAACCATTTTGGGCTTTTGAGTTGGTGTAGTACTAAATAAAGAAGATTCTTATCAATCAAAAACATGTAGAATTAATGTATTTTCTTCCATAAGCCACCCAAAAGACATGATGTGGTTGTCTATCATCTATTTGGATTTAGTTGGGGGTGGCAGGAGGCAACAGCTTGCTGCTTCCCCAGGCCATTTTTTGATTTTTTTCCTTAAAATTAAATAAATATTTCTAAATGAAAAATGGTAGTGAGCATAATTTTCTCCTTTAAATATGAATGAAGGATTATCGTGCAGTTTATGGAACCAGAATAAAATACTGAGGTATTAGTTTCATGTGCCATTGGTATAAATAAAAGTACCATATCAGAGAAGGGAAATGTTATAAATAGTGCTAATTGGCTCCCTTGATAGTAGTCATAAAGATGCAGAAAATCCTATAAAGACACATGAGTTTGGGTCCTGCAGTTAAAATGGTAGCTCAGCATTGAGACACATACTTTTACAAGGCAACATGATAGGATTTTTTTTTTTTTAGATTATTTCAGGTTTGACAGCCTGTGACTTTTCACACGTGCTAATAAAACTTTTACAGAATAAATTTTTTAGCACTTTTTTCATTGCCTACAGAACATCAAAATCTTAATGGCATTCATTTTTATTAAATTCAACTTTGTTATAGACCTTTCATTTCAGAGGGTGAGGAGAAGAATCTTGTCTTTCCATTATGATAGATGGCCTCACTAATTGTGTGGTTAATGTAAGAAGTTAAGAGGTTAATGCTTGAGAAGCATCTTCATAGCGGAAGTATGTTGGTGGGGGGGACTTACTATAGCTAAAGACAAGGAAAGCCTCAACAAAACCATCTACAAGGGTTGACTAATACCCAAAGTGGTGCATTGTGAAGGGTCTGAGAATGTGCCATTACTGTCTGGGTTTTGAAGGTAGGGGATCCATCAGAAACTATCATCAAAGCCTCTGTTTCTTTTGTCATTTTGTTTTGATGTGTATGCTTTCTGTCTGCCATACTGTAATGCAAACTGCATGACTAAAAACTTTTTTTAGTTCTGTTGCATGGGCACTTTTGCTTTATACTTTGAGGTTTTCTTAATTTCTGACTGCTTTGTATGTGTTCTCTTCTAAACTTGTGTCATGAATATGTCCTTCCTGGTGTTGTGAAATGGAGAGAGCTGTTACTGCTACTTGTTGGAGCCAGTCAGGCGTAAGGAAGTTCACCATACAGGAGTAGCGGGAAGCATGTTTCAACCATTCTGCTTGTTTAAAGAAAGACAATACTATAGATTGTACTGATCATGAGCATTGCATAAGAACCTGGATTCCCTCTGCCATTGCAATAGGGCTAGTATTAATCAATAAACAATCTTTCTAAAAGGAAACAAATGGCTGAAAAGCACAGGAGCTCAGAGAAGGTAGGCTTATAGCTTGCTTCCGTAGTTAATGGCTTTTGGAGTTTAAAGTAAGTGAAGAACTTTCTTGCTGGGACTACTACAAGAGCTTCCTATATAGGACTAAGGTATATTCTAAGCTTTGTGACCAAGTGTAAATAAGATCAAGATGAGGTCACTGCTTCAGGTTCAATTGAGGAGTCCTATCTCTTCAAGAATTCTCTTAAATTACCTCATCAAGTTCAAGGTGATTCTTGGGATCCCGTTGGACTCTTTAGATATTCTGATGATACTACTGGACAGCACCCAATTTCATAAAGTTCTCTGAAGTAGAAGAGAATGATCTGAATGAAAAATTCTTGAAAGAAATTAACTCCAGAATGGATTACAAATCTGTTAATGTACATATTGTATTCAGGTATGGTCTAGCTTAAAATTTTATCATTCTTAATGTTAGTAATAACCTGTAAACTTGTAACAAGAGTGCTGTAAAACAGATTCACAAGTCTTTAAAGTGAAATATGCACATCAATGGTGTTCACACATTTGAACTTGCGTTAGCACAAAACTACTTAAAACAGGAGTACACCATAGTATACATTTCTTTAGAAATGTCAGGTTATCTCCAGTATGCCAGGAAAATGTACACTTTGGTTAGTTGATGTGTTAGGTGTGACAAATGACAGTGAGTGCCCACTTATTTTTATTTCTAATTACTATTTTTTTTTCCTTTTGTAAGTAACAAAGGTAAATATTGAGATATATGCAGAGGTCTTGTTAAATGTGGAGTTTATTTGATTATGATGTTTGTGAACAGGCAAAAGTATTAACTAAAAGGAGTTGAATAATTTCCAAAATACAAATTCCAAAACGAGAGAGGAGCCATTTGACAAATTCAAATACATTGCTGGCTGAGTGCAAGAATGAAAATACAAGAAAATTTTAGGCTGAATATAACAGAACCTGACAGCAAGGCTAATTAGATAGAAGTCTTGTGTCTTAAGGCAAAATACCAGAAGCCCTGTGACTTGGCATATAGAAAACATCAGAGAAATAGAGAAAATTATTTATTTAAATAAAGAGTCCTGCTGCTTTAGAGAATTAAGAAAACTGCTGTATAATTGACCAGAAACTGCTGTATCCTGAGAACCAGTCAGACTTTACGAGTTTCACAGTAAGGAAATAGAATACAGGCTGCTAGAAGCAGTCCTGTGGTGCCAGAAGGGCAGCCTAAATCACCTAGGATGCTTTTTGTTTTTCTCATCCTTTCCAAGATCTTTGTGTTCCTCATGCGTCAGTGGTAGTACAAGGATATCACCATTGGTTTTCTCTTAATTATAGAGGTGTGCTGAGCATGTCTGGTGCTAATTAGAAAAGAGTGCCTTTTTCAGGCTTCAGGTAGTGGAACTTAAAAGTTTCCCAGACTTGTCTGTCCATTGACCAGTTCTGTTGGAAAAGGATACTTTTCAGAACAGGTTGGTGAGGATGCAAAATGCTATTTTTATAAATGTACCACAAATTCGGTGCTTTTTTGGGCACAAAATATGTATATAAAGTGAAAGAGAAGTGTCAATAGAAAGCTAACATCCTTGAAGTGTGTGACTTCTTGCTACAATTTCAAGTTTTTCCAATCTTCTCCTACTGTTTGTGCACTTCCAAACAAAAATATCTTGGGTACGGTTCCAGGCAGGTTACCCTGTTCTCAGTTTGCACTGCTGTGCTTTGCCCTCCCTAGTGTGATCCTGACCCCTCAGAAAGCTGACTGAGAGTGCAATGCTGTTAGGAAAGTCTTCGGGTTTTTTAAATCACTTTGAGCCAATTTGTTGAGGGCTCAGCTAGGCACCAGTACAGCGGCACAGGAGAGAGGCGCAGGACCGTGGCAGGACTGGTTCAGATCAGCGTAGTGTCTTGGAACTATACTGTGACATCTGTAGTGTTCGTAGCTGGTTTATGCATAGCTTATGTTTTGCTGAAACGTTACCAGTGCGATAGACCTCTTCCTTTATCTTACAGTGTGCCAAGTAATTGGCATGTATGACTACACTGCACAGAATGACGATGAGCTAGCGTTCAATAAAGGCCAGATTATAAACGTCCTTAACAAGGAAGACCCAGACTGGTGGAAAGGGGAGGTGAATGGACAAGTGGGTCTCTTTCCATCCAACTATGTGAAGCTGACAACAGACATGGACCCAAGCCAGCAATGTAAGTGACCCTCTCTGCTGCCATGCTGTGATTATTTGTTTAGTACGTTAAGATGAAACATGCAGCATTGCTGTGATTCTGCTGTGGTTTGCAGAACTCAAAGCTTCACCACTGCTGCACTTGTCAAAGTCTCTTTGAAGACCTTCTGTAATGCAAACCTTATTTTATGTTTGTTTTATTTTTAGTTCCCATCCCCTTTGTAGCATGTTACCCTTTATCATTTTTGCACCATGCTGTTTACATGCCTGACTCATTTTCCTAGCTTGAATTTGCTCATTGTTTTGTTTTGCTTATGTGTTGTTTTCCTCCTTTTTCTAGGAATCATATGTTGTCCATCCCCCACTCAGGCTTGAAAGTCCTCAAAGAGACCCACTATCCCATATCACTGCCCAGAGGGATGATGGGAGATGCAGCCTTGATCATGTGGCTTCCAGCATGATCATCTACTGCCTTCTGAGTAGAAGAACACACTGCAGAGCAGTTTACCTCATTTTACATTAGTTGCATGTAATCGCAATGTTTGAGTTAATTACCTACAGATATAGACGCAAAATTAAAATGAAACAAAAAAACACAAAAAAATCAGAGGATAGTGGGTCCTTTTGTGGCTTTCATAGTTACCAAACTAATTTTTCCACCTTTGCACAGGTGCTTTCAGTAGTTTTAAAGTTATTTTTAAATATGTATTTTAGCCTTTTAAAGGAAAAGTATAAATTAAATTTCTTCATTGCGATTTTGTTTGTGCAAAAAGACCCACTATCAAGGAATGCTGCATGTGCTATTAAAATTGTTCCAAATGTCCATAAATTTGAGACTTTATGTATATTTCTTTTTTATTGTTCACTTGTCCAGTGTTGTCAATATGTCTTCTTTTTTTTTGTTTCTTTTCTTTTTTTTAATTACAAAAGAACAGAAGGAGTTAAATCAGTTTAAGGAACTTTAAATGTGCCCAATTACAGATGAGGTATTTTGTTGTAGTTATTGTACTGTATGTATCAGGTGTTCCTTGTTGAGTGTGTAATACATTGTGGAGAGAAGAAATTAACTTCCTTCCAATGCAAGAGATATTAACCTTGCATAATGTTGTTATCCCGGTTATGTTAATTTTATTTTGCACATTACTTGTAGCTGCATACAGTTAGAAAACACCCTGGTTTGTGTTTGTCTCAGATGTTTTGGTTTTTGCATTTTCGTACCACAAATCAATAGAATGCTACATTCATGTGGGATTTGAGAATTAACTTCTTTATTTTCATCTTGGTTACATGAAGTTTAATTTCTCATTTTTACTTTCTTATGACTATGGAACAACACATTTTGAACAATTAATTTTCCTGACAAGAAAGAATGTATAGAAATATCTCCCTGCAATTAATTTCCAGTGTTTACATTTTTTTAAACTAGACTGTGGAATTTATACAAATTAATATTAAATGGAGCTTACAGTCAAGTTTATGTAGTAGATGTGTTGTAGTTAAGCCATGTTTGTCTTTCCAGCATTAGTTACCAGCTCTTGATGAAATGCCTGGTGCTGTCAGTGCAGAAACCCTCTCTTCCCAATGCCTCAAGCACAATATAGCCGTTCTACTAATTACTTTACCATTTAGTTATGTTCTGCTTTATGTATTTCATTTATTTCTAAATTTCATGCTGACAGTGTTGTAGCGTTTCTAATCCTACCCCATCTCCCTCCTTCTGACCCGTCATGCAGTGCAAAGAACAAGTGAAGCTCCTTATTCAATTGCACTTCAGTATTTCATCAATATGAATGTAAATTATATAAATATATAAAAACCTGCAGCTTTAACAACTGTAATACAGCCTTTAAAATTAGTTACATGTATAGATAATTAAATTCTTCATATAAAAGATAGACTAAAATGTGTTTGTTGTCTCGTTGCTGTGTACACACAGAATTCACCAAGTGGCATTAGTGCATGTAATGAATTTGCCACCAGAATAGCCTGAAGCCCACCTGTTTAATTTCAGAATGACACTTTTCTTGTTTCTTTGAATATTGTCTCAATATAATAATCACAATCAATCTGAGCAATCTGCAACCTTTTGCACCTTTCTTTATTCAGTGCTTTCTACGTGTTACAAATCAGTTGATATTTTTTGACACTATACTGGTAGATGAATTAAGAATACTTTGTTGTTGTACTATGGGTTTACATTGACTTAGGCTCTGTGTTTTATGCCAGAAGCTCTAGTCTTAAAACATGCACAATTGCACAGATTTTCTTTCTTTTTAGGATAGTATTTAATATGCACAAATTTTTCATTTACCTTTGTGCCATTAAAAACAAACAAACAAAAGTTTTCTTCTCTACCATAGCCACTTGCTGGAAAACACTCTGCCTGGTATGACAGAAATTGACCAGAACACACTGCTTGTAATTTTCAGTGCCCATTGTTTTGCTTACTGAGAATGATGTAGCCAGATTTTACTCCACTATTGCAGTATTTTGTGCATTAAAATGTTATTTTAATGAAAGGGTATTTCTGTTTTCCCATAATGAGCTGTTGTGCTGAAAGATTTATAACTCGACTAGAAGTATTTGTCCTAAGGGACATTTTGGTTTTTATGACTTCAGGCCAGAAACATACTTTCTCTACATATTGAAATATTGGCAATACTTTGGATATAGGGGATTCAGATACTGCTTTTTTTTCATTAATTCAAGTGAGAAGAAAAATAAAGCTATTATAATAATCTGCAGGCTACATGTTTCCTAACATGCTGCTTAAAAGTGCTGAGAGTGATGGCTCATAAAAGATTGTCAAAATCACAGTGCTCTAAAAGTTCTTGGGGTCAGTTTTCTGCTGAAGTGAAAAGAACAGCCTGAAGCTGTCCCTCTGTAGGTGTGTACACACACACACAAACACACACAAATTGTGCCAGGACTCCTCAGACAGCAAGCGCTGTGTATTCCTCAACAGAGCAACAGCTTGATCAATCAGTCTATTGTTGAGAATAGTTAACTCACAAAAACCTCAAAACACATTTAGAATGTCCTAGACAAAGATATTCAAACCACTGTGGCTTATGTCAACATACATTGTTGAAATACCTATAACGTTTATTTACTCAATTATTAAAGTTCTTAAGTGTACTACTATAGCTTGGTATGGTAGTGTTTAATCTTCCTCATAATCAGTTATTTCCCTTGAGTAGCAGGGAACAAGATATTGCACTTACTCTTTCTTACCTGTCTGGATTTTTGTCTATATATACATATATATGAGAAAGGGATTATGAAAGCAATTCTTTAATAAAGAAAATGGACTATTTCCATTAAAAAAATAGTTTTTCAGGGTTGTGTCTCAATCCAGTTTTGACCCTCTCTCCTCCTTCCTGCTTCATCTGAAAAGATCTTTAACCTCCTAAGGCACACAGTCCCCTCCCAAAGCTGCAGATCCGGACTGCAGCAAGCAAACCTATTTCCAAAAAATGCTTGCCTCCTGTGATGGAAATGTGCCCACACTCTTGTTTCTTCAGTTCTTGAATTTGTGGCTGCAAAACCAACAAGCACTAGTTCCAGTCAAGGCAGAAACAAGATTTTCATAGACAAAACTAAGAAACCATTCACATGCTTTTTGATTTATTTGTATAGCAGCCTCACTGCTGCCTAGTCAATTGAATGCATTCTTTATATTCATTTTCATTTGTGAAGTACCTTTTCCCTTTGCACAGGAGCTCAGGAAAAGGAGCTGTCACTTGAGGGATGTAGAGAAGACTGGACTTAGAGACCACTCCAAGTGGTGGTGGGTTTTTTTGTTCACAGTTTTTCTGTTTACCTTGAGAAGAATTTTCTCTGTATTCATCTGCTGAGGAATAATTTCCGTGAATTTTTTTTCATGGGATTTGTTAATATCGATTCCAATGCTTTAAATCTGTCCAAGACAACTGAGACTTTAAGATGCAGGTTTATCAAGAGTGCTTTGCTTTATATTCAGAATCAGTTTTATTGAAATCTCAATTCTTCTGGAGCTTCAGTGGTGTCTCTTTCAGTCCCTGTGAGCTCACTGAACACATTTTAAAATGGCCTATTACCATAACCTTCCCACAAGGCAGCAAAATAACTCCATGTTCTGTTTTTGTTCTCTGGTTTTATAGCAGTTCTTTGTGATTATTGACTCCAGATATTTAACTTCTTGTTAAATAGCTCCTTATGTGCAGTCCTCTTCTGATGACAATAAATGGCTTATTTTTAACTGTTTTTTAGACAACTTCACTAAGTCCAGGGACAATATAGCTCAAATATTATTTAATTGCAAGCTAAGTGCATGCACACAGACGACTGGATAACAAGCTGCTGCTTAGCTAAATGGAGAGTGCTAAGGTGACCTTTTGATTCCAAACCCTGAAAGAATGTTTTCAGAAGGTTGTCCTGGATGCAGTTAAAAACTTAAATTATTTTCACAAAGACTTCATTTCCCGTGTGTAGACTATGGGCTTTTGTGCTTGTTGTTTGATAGCTTGCAAAGGAGTACTTTACCATGAATGAGGATTCATTTTGAGTTATTGTCCATGTGAGGAGAAATCGTGAGAGTTATCTTAACTATCTGTTGTAACCTAGTAATGTTAATGGTATGTGTAAACATAATTCTGATATACACAACAAATTTCTGTAGTTTGTTGCAGCAAGTTTCATAGCTGTTTTGTTCACCTCTCCTTTCCATACATCTTAATTTGGAAAGTTCTTTTAAAAAAATGAAACCCAAGAAGTACCCCTGTAGTGCTCCTCCTCAGCACAAAAATTCAGATTGCAATGTCTTCTTAGAGCAGGAAGCTAATTTGAATCAAACCTGTAACTCTTCTTCCGTAACTTTTATTAATTCTGTGGAGCAACACAGAATAAGAAGTCAGATTCTAGAACAAGTTCAATCTTGTGGAATGGTTTTATTTAAGCATTTCATGGAAAAGGTAGCTGTTAGTGTCTATTGGTGGAAAGATGTTTATACTCGAGGTAGCTGTCCTACAGCGAGTGGGCACA